AAACATAATATGTAGTATATACTACAAAATTCTACTTAGAAAAACAGATACAAAGGAATCATTTATCTATAATGGCTTCCCTCACAGTCAATCAACTATACTTAACAAAGGCCTACATGCAAGAACAAGTTGAACAGAAACAAGAAAAACTGCCATAAAAAGTTGTAGATGTACCAGATGAATTATTTCTTGAATGGTTAAGTTGAATTCTGATAGAACATTTGCCTGACTATTTACTTTTCGTTGCCAAGTTAATAGCGCAGGTTGTGCAGGATCAACCTTAACCTGGAATGACCAAAAGTAGTTAGAAACCAAAAATTTCATGGTCAGTTGAAGCATCAGAAAAAGCAAGCTGAAGATGATCTAAATGAAAATAAGAAAGTTTGTTAGCTCTGCCACAGATAGTGGTATTGCCTACATTCTAAGCAAGCTCCATTACACATTAGGAACTAAGTGATAAAATTAACAAATAAATGTATCTGGATGTGGCATCTTTATTCCTTGTGGAAATGCAATCGTTGTTTTTTTTTATTTTTTGGATCAGTAAAAATCATTTTTTAAATATATTTTTTGGTAATAAATAAGAAAAGAAAATTTATTAATAAGAAAATAAAGTACAATAGGATAGGTGATGAGCTTATCACCCCAAATATTCTAGATTTTCTAGTGCATATGTCAAAGAAAAAAAAACAACTAAAAAACATGACGTAGGACAAGAAAACTTCAATCTAACTCCAATGTAGACCAAAAGCCATCTCTAAAATCTTCTTTTGATACTCCTTCAAATTCTATTAAAATAAGAATTCAGACCATAATCCTTCTTCCAAAAAGTGTTGTGGCTTGAGTTCTATCCCGGGAAGTAAGTGGGAGATCGAGGAGTAAAGAGCCCCCTCTTGAATAAACCAAAGAAAATTTCGCAAAGAAACTTAGTAGCAGCAGTTGAAACAGAGATGAACTACATTTTCTTCAGAAGCTTTGCATAAATAGCATCTATTAGCTAGTTGGATGCCTCTATGCTGAATATGATCCAGAGTGAATATACTATTCAATGCCACCAACCAAGCAAAAGCTTCAACACTCGGTCGGAAAGGATTTCCCCAAAGTCCTTTTACCTCAGATCTTTCAACTTGGTTCTTCATGAGGGCCTTGTAAAATTATTTAACAGTGTGAAACACCTTTGTTAGCTTCCTTCCACTATCTTGAATCTCTTCTCTCCACTTACATCTTGACTGGATGCAACTTTGGCTGAAGCTCCACAAATTCCTCTATTTCCCAATCAAAATAGAGGCCTTCTGAACTTTGGAAACCAAACTACCTCCAGTATATCCCGTGATGAGGTACCGTCTTTGGTTCAACAATTCCATCAGATGGTGCTGACACAGCTTGGGGCACGAGTGAAAGTGTTTAGATTAGACAATGCCAGGGAATAGTTCGAAAAAAGCCTATCATCAAACCTATTGGAGCATGGAGTTATCCATCAGAGCGGTTGTACATACACTCCACAACAAAATGGTGTAGTAGAAAGGAAGAACAAACATATTGTGGAAGTAGCAAGAAGCATGATGTTGAGCTCCACAGTTCCAGTTCGTTTTTGGGGTGTTGAGTTCTTACTGTAGTTTTCTTGATTAATTGGGTGCCTTCTCGTGTTCTTGGGTATAACACTCCATTCAGCCTTCTTTTTCCTGAGGGGTAGACATTCCATATTCCTCTAAGGGTGTTTGGATGTGTATACTTTGTCCATGTTCTTGCTCCTCACTACTCAAAACTGGATCCTAAGGCGAAGAAGTGTGTCTTTCTTGGGTATGCAGGAAATCAGAAGGGGTATTGTTGTTATGATCCAATCTCCGGGTGTTGGTATGTCACTATAGATGTTACCTTTTTTGAGTCCACACCTTTTTTCTCAGGGGGTTCTTCTCAGGGGGGAGTGTTTTGGAGAAGGAATTGAACAACCTATACCACTTCCTGTTCCAGCTCCTTCGTCTACTCCAGTGTCTAACCTACCTATCTCACCCACTTTGCACAATAAAGGAACCCACATCACTCCCTATCGGCTCATCAAAGATTCCAGGTTCGATTAACACAGAACCCAGGTATGCCTCTTGTTCCCCCTGATGACTGAGTTCCTATTGATACTACTATCCCTGCTCCTAATGCCATTGCAGATGACCTTGATCTCCCTATTGCCCTTAGAAAAGGGAAGAGGAAGTGTACTGCTCATTGCACCTCACTATCTTTCCTACATTGGATTATCCCCATCCTACCGGGCCTTCCTTTCCTCCCTTGACTCTATGCCTATACCCAGGAGTGTCAGTGAGGCTCTCTCCAAACCTAAGTGGAAGACAACTATGTAGGAGGAAATGAAAGCATTGATTAAAAATCAAACATGATTATGGATTTTCCTGATGGCAAGGAGACTGTTGGATGAATATGGGTTTATACAGTAAACTACAAGGCCGATGGGAGTATAGAAAGGTACAAGGCGAGGCTAGTTGCAAAAGGGTATACTCAAGCTTATGGCATAGATTACTTGGAAACTTTTGCACCAGTGGCAAAGATGAGTTCAATTCGGATTCCACAATGCCTTTCTCAATGGGGACTTGCAGGAGGAGGTGTATATGGACCTTCCAACTGGCTTCTACAATAATGTGGAAAAAGGAAAGGTATGCAGGTTGAAGAAGTCAATATATGGTTTAAAACAATCACCCAGAGCTTGATTTGACAGGTTTAGAAGTGCATTGGTTGTATTTGGCTATACTCAAACTCAATTTGATCATACTCTTTTTGTGAAGAGGAGGGGGTCACTAGTGTCAGCTTTGATAGTGTATGTGGATGACATTGTAGTTACAGGAAATGATTTGAGTGAGATTGATACCCTGAAGAAGAATCTACACAAAGAGTTTGAGWTTAAGGATCTTGGGGAGCTGAAGTACTTTTTGGGCATTGAAGTGGCAAGGTCTAAGCATGGGATGTTCATCTCACAGAGGAAATATGTTCTAGATCTACTACAAGAGACAGGAAAGCTTGGGGCAAAGGCAGTTGATACACCTATTACCAGAACCATAGGATAAATGCTTCAGAGGGTGAACAAGTGAAGGATGTTGGAAGATATCAAAGGTTAGTGGGGTAGTTGCTATACTTATGTATGACACGACCAGGCATCTCGTATGCAGTGAGTGTGGTGAGTCAATACATGCATGCCCCACGAGTTCAGCATTGAGAGGCTATTGACAGAATACTTTCCTATTTGAAGGGACACCCAGGTAGAGGTGTATTGTTTGCTGACCATGGACAATTGAAGTTAGAGGCTTACACAGATGCTAATTGAACAGGGTGCCTAGATGACAGGAGATCTACATCAGGAGTTTGTACTCTTGTTGGAGGTAATTTAGTTTCATAGAAGAGAGAGTAAGAAACAGACAGTTGTGGCAAGGTCAAGTGCAAAAGCTGAATACAGAGCCATGGCACACAATGTTTCAGAGCTCCTCTGGATTGCTTCCTTGTTAGGGGAGATTGGAATTGAGGCCAAAAAACCTATGATGCTATATTGTGACAATCAAGCAGCAATTAACATTGCTCACAACCCAATTCAGAATGATAGGACGAAGCATATAGAAGTGGATAGACACTTTATAAGGGAAAGGGTGACATCCGGAGATTTTTGTTTGCCATATGTTGCATCTAACTTGCAGATTGTTGATGTTCTTACAAAAGGAGTTGCAAGAAACAAGCTGGAACATGATCTACGCAAGTTGGGAATGTGTGACATTTATTCCCAACTTGAAGGGGAATGTTGAATTTTGGGCTAATATAACATCTTTGTATTTACATAGAATAGTTAGGGAGTTATTGGGCCTTAGGCCCATTAGTTTATGTTTTAAGTTAAGAGTGTTTTTAAGTTCTCACAAGTAGCCGACTTACTAAGGGAATACTTGTCTTTGTACTCTCCTTTATTTATGAGTATATAATCTAATGAAAGGGGCGGCTAGACCTAATTCTAAGCTTCTCCCATTCTCTTCTATATCTGATCTCTCTCTTTCTTAGCTAAAACCTTTTCTTCTCTTTCTTTTCTTCTTTCTTTTATAGTCTCTATATCAAAACATGTTGTCCAAACATTTCTACTAAGTGTCCCAAGTCCTTAGTCTGGAATTGACTTTGTAGGAATTGTTTGAGTTCTTCAATGCCACGCTCATCACTTCCTGTAATAATAATATCATCAACATAGACTGCCAACACATTCTTCCCAGGTAGTATTTCTACTGAACACGAAGAGATCAGCCCTACATTGTGTCATCCCAAATTGTTGTACTACACTACTAAATCTCCCAAACCAGGCCCTTGGAGATTGTTTCAACCCATAAATTGTTTTCTTCAACAGACAAACCTTTCCTTCCTCCCCTGAGCAACATACCCTGGAGGTTTCTCCATATACACGTCTTCTTCTAGGTCACAATGGAGAAATGCGTTCTTAATATCCAACTGAAACAACAGTCAATCAAAGTGTGCAGCTAGAGAAATAAGCACATGGGCAGAACCCATTTTAGCTACATGCGAAAAAGTATCGGTATAATCAACACCATAGGTCAGTGTGTACCCTTTGGCTACTAAATGTGCTTTATCTCTCCCCATGCTAAATTTACATCGATAGTGCTGCTAGTAATCTGCACCTGCATTTACGTAAAGGTACAGTTCCCAGCTATCCACGAACAGAAAACTAGGCGTTGTTAAGTGTTAGAATGTTAGAGTTATGTTCGGCTGATAAGTGTTCTTATTAGCCCATTCTTATGTTTAACTTATCTTGTAACTGGGCTTGTGTTAATGGGCCTAATCCTGTTTAATGATTTAAGTCATCTGGGTGTCCCATCACTAATCAGGGGCATCC